GTTTGTCTAGAACTAATGTATGCGGAATTTTGTAAAGGTGAGGGTTTAGAAAAAGAATAGAGAGAGAATAAGCTTCTAGCTTTTAGAGAGAAAATAGAATAGAATTAGATGATTGTGAATTGTTGATGAATGTTGATGATTAAAAATGGGGGTCTAGGACCTTATTTATAGAAAAATAGTCCAAAAACCGATAGAAAAGAAATCGAGTCCCATTCGGAATAAAAAAACCTCCTGTCGTGAACGATAGGAGTTAGCGCCAGACGACAGGCACCAGCTCCGAGCGACAAACTCTGTCGTTTGGCGCTAATTAAAAGATAAAACGCGCTTTGTACAGAATCCTTTTCCCAATATAATAAATTAATTAGAATCTGTGTTAAACAATTTTAAGATCAGATTTATCATAAAACACTTATTTTATTCCAAATAAAACTCTTTAAAATAATAATTATTAATCCTAATGCCATTAGAATTTAAAAGAACCTTCTAGACTATTTTAGAAGATTAAAATCAATCCTAATAAATTTAAGATAATTTATAGTATCTCCTATAGATCATTGGGCCGCATAAAAATTCACTTTGGACCCAAATTAGTATTTTGGCCATAACTTTCTTATTATTCATCGGAATTGGGCTTATAATATATCGTTGGAAAGCTCTTTTTGAGCCCGATCCAACTACACTATTATTGGACTCTTATCATGGACCGAACTAAATTGGACTGGCTATTTACATAAATAGATTATAATAAGAAATATTTTCAAAAACGAAAAGAGAGATATTTTAATAAAAACAACCACATCACTAGACTTTTCACACTTTTCACTTCGTTCGATAATCAAATGACGTGAAAGGTATTCATCACTAGGTTTGGTTTTGGGGAGACACATTTGGGTGTCTACACCGTGTCTTGCAGGTACAAATAGCACCGGACCAGTCTTGGTAACGTAGCTCTCCCGAGGGACCAAAAACACCCAGAACATGTATGGTTGAGATCGGTAATTCATTTTTGATTTTGAGATGAATTTGTGGATACAATCATTGTTTTAATATCAATTGAATTTTTTGAAACTAATCCGATCAATTTCAATTCATTATGATCGATTTAAAGCCATTATGATCGATTAATTGATATATTTGATTGTTCTCATTAATTTGACCGATTAATTTGATCGTTCTCATTAACTTGTATGAATTTGATTATTTTTCATTAATTTGTATGATTTTTTTGTTAATTGATTGTTTTCATATTAGTTCAATTTGGTGAATACATTGTTGAATATGATTATTTGTATTATTGAATGTTATTTTTAATTTCTAATTGTTTATAATCGATCAATTCATAATTAATTCTGAATTCTTTGCTCATTGATTCATTATTTCATTGCTGATTGTATAATTTGAATCTAAATTTATTAGTAAAAATATCTGATCAATCACAATACTTTTAAACATTTAGTAAAAAGATTTGAAAATTTGCAAATTTTGAACATTTAGTAAAAATATCTGAACAATCACAATGTACCACGCCTATATTTTTTAACATTTAGCAAAAAGATCTGAACAATTGCAAATTTTGAACATTTAGTAAAAAAAAATCTGAATATCGCATATTTGAACATTTAGTAAAAATATCTAAACAATCACAATGTATCACGCCTATACTTTTGAACATTTAGTAAAAAGATTTGAACGATTGCAAATTTTGGACATTTAGTAAAAAAAATCCAAACATCGCAAATTTTGAGCATTTAGTAAATATATCTGAACATTCGCAATGTACCACACCTATACTTGTGAACATTTAGTAAAAAAAAAAGGAAAATTGGCTTAAAATAATACCAACTATCAATGGTGTATGCAAAATAATACAAACTTTACTATTTGCTATTAGCGGTACCACCTTTTGTACTATATGTGCAAAATAGTACGCCGGTCACCGCAAAAGTATCATGAGGAATTTTTCGTCTATAATTATTTATTTATTTTGTTATTAATTATCTATTTTCCTTTCAAAATACATATTATGTTATCAATTTCTTTTACAACACAATTTAAATTAATAATACCCCACCCCTTTGCATGTAGTGATTTTTACAACCACGTAATAGTAAATAGGGTATTGTAGGGAATAATTTGGAGCTTCCCACACTTGAGCCCCATTGTGATCATACACTTAAATATGGTGGCGTCCAAAGGGAAGGCTAGAGTAAAAGAGTCGCCAACAAGTTTTAGGAACTTGTAAACCGTTCACAAGGTGAAGGTTACACCCCTTTACGATCCATGAGATCGTTAACTCCATACTGATCCGGAACCATGACTGGATATTCGGGGATGAAGGTACAAATCAAACCTAAAAGAGATTGAACCTGCCCTTAAAATAGGCCTCTACTTTATTCTTCTCATATTCATATGCACTTTCTGACTAACATACAATCATTAGATTAATCTTAAAACATGTTTAATGTTGGTTGAATATTAATGCACAAACAAATCTATTATTGGCATCACTTGAATTAAAATCACATTAGCCTAAATAAAATTATTAATTATCTTATTAAGCGTGATTACCAGTACAAATTCTCTTTAAACCTGCAAGAGAGGGTGTGATCAAGCAATAACATAATAATATATCAAGCAACATAATAACAACAATCATCATAATAATATTCTCAATCTCATCAAAGCATAATAACATTAGCAAGATACTAGGCATGATACTAACAAGATTAATAACAATTATTCCTAACATGTCACTAAGCAATATAGATTAAAGTTTTAACCCTAACATGATACTAACATGATAGAAAAAATAGAAAGCAACCTAATCATAATATTAGAAAGCAATAAAAGCATCCTAACATGATACTAGGAACCAAAATAATCTAAGCATGCTTTCGAAAGATATAGCAATAGAACTACTAACTTTGTTGCCTCATATCTCTTTCTAATAACAAAAGACACACGTTAGTAACTTCAAGGAAAATTTTAAATCAAACAATTAATTTAAATAATTGAAATAGGGATTTAGGACACCTTTCACGTCTGGGCGAAGGCAACTTCAAACTTGGTTAGGTGTGTCTAGAACTCGTGAATGCGATGTGGTGTTTGTAAAAAGGCAAGGATAGAAAGAGGGAGAAAGAATAAGCTATTGGTTAAGAGAGAGAAGAGAAAGATGATTGTTGATGAATATGAATGAATCAAAACAGGGAAATGCGACCCTATTTAAAATAATAAAAAAAAGGTCCCGAAACGATTAGAAAAAGATTGAATTCGATTCGGAGTAAAACAGCTCCCATCGCGGCGCAACAGGGTTTATCGCTACGCGACGGTGTCATCGCGGCGTGACAGCTCCATCGCGACACAATGGCTCTATCGTTTCGCGATAGTTCACTCGTTAACTCAAAGCCGTACAGAGTCCTTAATCTAATTAAATTAGACAAACTAACGTTTGTACTTATCTTTTAAAATCAGATTAATTATGTTAAAAACACTTGTTTTATTCTAAATAAAATTATTTATTTTCTAAAAGATATAATTATTAATCCTAATCCCACTAGAATTCAAAATAATCTTCTAGATTATTCTAGAAGATTAAAATCGATCCTAATGACTTTATGAATATTTATTAATGGGCCCTCCACTTGATCATTGGACCATATAAAACCATTTCAGGCCCAATTTAGTATTTTTTGCTATAACTTCGTCATTATTCATCGGAATTGGGCTTATTATATATCGTTGGAAAGCTCTTTTCGAGTCCAATCCAACTACACTATTATTGGAACCTCATCATGGACCAAACTAAATTGGACTGGACATTTTCATAAATAGAGTTCGAGAAGAATTATTTTCGAAAACAAAAATAAGTATTTTTTAAAATGGCCGCATCACAAGACTTTTCACACTTTCACCTCGTTTGATAATCAAATGACGTGAAAGATATTCATCACTGGGTTTTGGTTTTTGAAGAGACACAACCAGGTGTCTACAGGTACTTAATTGCATTATTATTTTGATATAATTAGTTTCAAAAATGAATATGGGGAAATTTTGGATTTTTGAAACTAATTACATCAATATAATAATTTATTTAAATACCCTATATACTATTGTATGAGTAGAAATTAATGCAGGTGTTTTGAAAATAATTATATTTAAACACATATAAAAATAAATAAAAATAAAATAAAAAAAGTCGAACAAAAAGATGGAGCATTATTAATTGGATTATAAAAGAAATTGTTAACATAGTAATATGCATTTTGAAAAGAAAACATAAAATTAATAAAAAAAAATTAAAATAATAATAAACATAGACGGAATACTCCTTGAAATACTTTTTCGGTGACGGACATATTATTTTGCACATATAGTATAAAAGGTGATTGTGCTAAAAGCAAATATTTGAGTTCGTATTATTTTGCACACATTGTTGATAGTTGGCATTATATTTAGTCAATTTTCTTTAAAAAAAATGCGAACATCACAAACTTTGAACATTTAGTAAAAATATCTGAACAATCACAATATACCACTCCTATACTTTTGAACATTTAGTAAATAAATCTAAACAATTGCAAATTTTGAACATTTAGTAAAAACATTCAAACATTGCAAAATTTAAACAATTTAGTAAAAAAATTAAACAATTGTTGGCATTATAGCGAGAAAGAAGTTTGTAGGGTAAATGGGCTATTGATCAAGCTAGGAATAGCTAGACCAGGATTCACAATAGACTTATTGCCTTATTGGTTACAAGGCTTTTGTTTATTAAATCCCTTAACGTGTTAAACAAACTCTAAACAAACATCAATAAGCAAAGAAAAAACAATCACTAACCGGCAAAAATAAAAAGGGCCAAAGCAACCTTCGTTCAACCATCTGAGTTAATCAGCAACTCATGCAAGTCCATTTTCCCATATGATGCTACGAACAAAACGAGCTGCGATTGAAAAGCACAGCCAATGCACAAACAGTGCAACATAATAGATGAGGGTGCATAAGCCAACAGAGAAATTACGTTTGAACATTAAGTGCACCTAATCTTGGAAGTATCAACATTGTGTCATAAGAAGACCCAAGCTAGCAAGGCTTTGTTACATTCTTACAGACCGCAATTCTCAACTACGCTCAACTTGATTCATGAAAATATACTATGAAAAATTCAAAATAGTGCATGAAATTGTAAGGCTATACAACAAAACTAGATTATATAGAAAAAAAAGGAAACAACGATACAAAATTTTTTCCTATTTTGCTTAATCCCTCTAGCTCTCTCCCTTCTATTATGCGTAACCTTTTGAATAGTTTACAAGTCAATAAAAACCAACTATTGTCGGACTAAAATGAGTATATACACGGCACTTGATGCTCAAAATATTCTCAAGAAGGGTCAACTTTTATAACGAGTGGCTGCCAAAAATCTGAAGGTGACTCTTTTACTGTAGGAAGCTTTGATGCTTCGTCTGAAGCCAAAATGCATTCAAAATCAGCATTTTCAGCTAATGCTTTATCCAGAGAAGCTTTAGCAATTCGGGTTATAGACATTATTAGGATCACTGCAAAGTAATTTACAAAATATGAGAGTTAGTCAAGTTCACAAGAGTTGTATCACGGACAGAATTCTATTTACTTCTTCCATAGTTAAATTGGTAGGGGATGGTGGTCGTTTAGAGCCTATAATTGCAAACGACGTTCAAGATCAAGATGTTACTCTACTGAAAAAAGTAGAATGAGTCCTGACAAAAATGGGCAGGTCTTGATGGTTATATGTTTAGCGGAGAAGTGGGAATTCTCGAGCTAGATAGCATCAAATGAAAAGATTATCACAGTTATTCAGCATTTCAGTGTGCCAGTTAAATTCTAGGCTGACATAAGCATAATCCTTCGAGAATGACAAAGAAATATTTACGAAGTAAAAGAAAATAAAATGGTAAATGACTCACCAGATACAATTAGACCCAATCCAATAAAACCCTGCAGCAGCAAGATAACAAAATGAATTCCAGATTTTTCAAAGCAAATGCATGCCAGCATAAGTAGTTCAGTGGTTGTCCATGTGAAAGCATTTGGAAGAACAAGCCCAAGAAATTTACGTCTTAAGGTTTAATTTTAAAGCTTGTTCATCTGGGTGCACTGAAACATAACTTTCTCCAAGAAAATTAGTCTATCATTTCAAACTACGCTCTTAGATGTCTTCCATGCTTGCAACTTAAAAGACGTTAAAGTGGTTATGAATAAAAACAAAACACAGGGATCTAGAATGGGAGTGACACTTGTCATTTATGATTAGAGAGACAACATTTCAATGCTAGAACAAGGTGGCAATAAGAGATGAGTGAAGTGAGGATAAATCTAAGTGAGTCCAGTCATATTTGTGACGACTTGCTACATATATAACAAGTTCACAACTGAAACCTAAGGACAGTTTTATTTGTTTGCTATGTTTACTATAGTCAACAGTATAAGCTTAATCAAGAATGAATAACCGACAATTTAAACCTTGTGTTCTACAAGAGAACATGTTGATAAGATAAGCTAAAAAAATTAATAGGAAGCACTTACCAATCGAGCAGTTGACACCTCACTCCATCCATGGGTGACATCAGAAAGGTTTTTCAATGTTGTACCCACATATACAAATGCAAATGTGATCGGCTGCAATGAAAATTAAACATGGTGATAATTAGTATTTACAATGGAATAGCCCTCCCTATCTCTACAAGAAAATCGCACAACAGAGAGTAAAAGGGCGAATGGTGGTGAATGGAAACAATTAAAAAAAAAACAAAAAATAGACAAGCTAACACAGAGCAGCATGCAGTACCATCATTCCCAACCACGTTGCCAGGATGTAAGCGCCCAAGTTAATAGGAGTTACAGACAGGAGGTAATTCAACATGTTGAATGGAAGGAGGGGAACCAGTCGAAGTAGCAAAACAATCTGTCAACGAGAGAGTTATTAGAGCAAATGTAGAAAACCTACTCTAAAAAAGTCAAGTATTTGGTCATTATATAGGAAATAGTAATAATTAATAACTAAAAATAATTAAAAAATTAAAAAATTAAATAAATAAATAAAAGATCTTTAAACAAAAAGCATGATAACTTGACCTAAAAGTAGCATTATGATAACGCCCTCCCTTAACAGTTATTTGTCCTTTCCCACTTGGCATGGCTTAAAAAAGTAATCTTTCTTATTGTCAATGAAACAATATATGGGAAAATTAAAAGACATTCTTTATTGATGATTTCTCAAAAGTAACATCGGGAGCACAAGAAGTTAATTAAAAAAAGAAAAAGGGGGGCGGGGGGGGGGGGGGGGGGGGGGGGGGGGCGTGTCCTCATCAGTAAATATTTCTGGAAAATTTGTCCAAGTGACAACTTCAGGATAGAAGGGACTGGCATGAGTATTAACTTGAGACAATGTACTGGACAGCTGAAATAAATATCCACAGTAGAGTAAATTTTCAATATGATCCACAATAGCGAAGTCTACAATACATCATTAATAGAACCCATTAATTCAATTATTTCTATTCCTTAAATTCAGCCAAAAAAAAAAAAAAAAAAAAAAAAAAAAAAATAAAACAAAGGCGAACGTTAAATAATAGCCCATCAATTCCTTTTCAATAATATATGTTTCTAAAACCTATCAAGCAGCAGACCTGGGGTTTTTTCATATTTTATCATTTAGTGCAAGTAAAGCTTAGTTTTAAAAGGCGCAAGATGCAGCAAGGCACAAAAGTTCTTGGATCCTAGGCGCGAGCCTTTTGTAGGTGAGGCGCACTTTTTGATTGATAAGTCTAAGAAAAGAAACATGAAAAAAGGTGAGAGACCATGTGATCAATAATTAGGGTTCTTTAAATGGAATTGGGGCATTTGGGATGTCTTGCTGCTCTAGTATTATAAATTTAACAGCTGCAAAATCATTTTACATATCAGCTATTGATGACTTACTATACAACATAAGGCGCAAGAACCAGCCTAGAAAAAGCACAGAGCTAAGGCGGTATTAACTTGAGACAATGTACTGGACAGCTGAAATAAATATCCACAGTAGAGTAAATTTTCAATATGATCCACAATAGCGAAGTCTACAATACATCATTAATAGAACCCATTAATTCAATTATTTCTATTCCTTAAATTCAGCCAAAAAAAAAAAAAAAAATTAAAACAAAGGCGAACGTTAAATAATAGCCCATCAATTCCTTTTCAATAATATATGTTTCTAAAACCTATCAAGCAGCAGACCTGGGGTTTTTCATATTTTATCATTTAGTGCAAGTAAAGCTTAGTTTTAAAAGGCGCAAGATGCAGCAAGGCACAAAAGTTCTTGGATCCTAGGCGCGAGCCTTTTGTAGGTGAGGCGCACTTTTTGATTGATAAGTCTAAGAAAAGAAACATGAAAAAAGGTGAAAGACCATGTGATCAATAATTAGGGTTCTTTAAATGGAATTGGGGCATTTGGGATGTCTTGCTGCTCTAGTATTATAAATTTAACAGCTGCAAAATCATTTTACATATCAGCTATTGATGACTTACTATACAACATAAGGCGCAAGAACCAGCCTAGAAAAAGCACAGAGCTAAGGCGGTGCCAGCTCTCGCACCTGACTGTGCCAGCTCTCGCACCTCACAGAGCTTAAGCGCAACTAAGGTGCACTTTACAAAATTATTAAGTAATCGGAATCAAATGAAGTATGTGTGATTATATCAAGGCAAGAATTGGCATAGAGATAAAATGTGATAGACTCACATGGGGCACTCAAACCACCACTAAAGGTGTACGTGAAAAGGAAGAAAGGTAAAGAGAAGAGTGTTCAACGGGAAGGGAACGTACAGCAGGCACCAAAAGAAAGGGGTGACAGCAAGGCAAAAACGGACAAAAACTATGGCATTGAGAAACTGAAGAAGAGGACAAGCTGATTCTCTGATGAAGTAGAAGACAAATCCAATTAATTCCAGGTTATTGTAATTACTTGAGTATATATTGTCAGTAGAGAGTTAGTAGCCTCAAGCTGCTGGTGAGACTGATAGCCTAAAGTTATCACTTTTTTACCTAAAATCTGTCATTGTCAATCAAATAATCAAGCTTTTGCCTTTAGAATTCTCTTGCAAAATATAGCTTACAATCTAAAAGTACTAGTCTATTACATAAAAGCCTAAACCTATACAATTTAAATGACTTACTGCCAGGTTTCATTATTTTTCTTTACTCGTTTTGAGTTGCAATTATATCAAGCTTACTTGATTGTAGCATAGATGAGTTACAAATAAAATGGGTAGGCAATATACCTCACAAGAAGTTGGTTGAATGGGAGTGTCATATATTACTAATCTGCTTCTATAAGAAACAATCACTGTTTCCACTGGAGGGTCAGTTATTATTTACTGCCACATGTTACTTATGGATAACAGCTAACTTTTATGGATAACAGCAAACTTAGGTAAAGCCTTTCATCAATATGACTTACAAGAGACTCCAGCCCATGACAAGGCTGGGGGGGGGGGAGGGAGGGAGGTGGGTCAGATATAAGCAGTGTAGCTGCTCTAATAAAGTGAGAATATTTTCAAGTCAAACTGACCTTTAATCCAAAATGTAACAAGCCCCCACTACTTCACAATAATAAAGTATCAATGGTTTACTTAGTAATTTAGGATAGTTTTCAATGCAAGCCATCTGAGCTCTTCGTACCAGCAGATCACATTAACACATTGGGTAATGTCCCAGCAACAGCGAAGGCAATCTTCTTGGACATAAACAAAAGTATATTTCGACATTGTTGACTATGCCTACAAAGAAGATACAGTTTGAGGATCATTCAACGTAAGCATCCCTGATGGTAAAGCAAACTTTAAAATCTATCAATATTTTTTATCTCAGAGAAGAACAGAAGCCACCAAGATAGATCAAGTCAATTGATTCAACTGCTTACAGTTCATTTGACCTTTCATGAAACTGATACCTGGAAAAGTGAGATTTTTAAAGCCTCTGTGGGTAGCTCAAACCCTATAATGAAACTAAAGAAAACTTGTTTGCAACTTGCTTGCAACTTGCTTGCTTTGAGTCATTTTAAAGTTATAACATAATATGGATTATATAAAAAATAAAAAATAAAAAAAAAAATTTAATAAAAATTAAATAAAAATATATTTTAAAAAAATAAAAAATAAAAAATAAAATAAAAAAGTATTTTTTAAAAAAGAAGAAAGTCAGATAAGTAGCTGTTCATGAATGGAGTTTGATTTTACTGATTCCAACTACGCTCACATAAAATAGGAACATCTATGAAAGCATTAGACTAAGAGAACTAGAGTAGATGAACAGATCTTGCTGATATAAAAATTATGAGGACCATCCACAACCAAAAGACGGTGGGCCTAAAGATCACTGAAACTTAAGGAACATCCACTAAAGTTTTGAAAAGAGAAAAAATGAAGCACTAGAAAGGCACATCAGATAATGAAAAGGGAGGAACTACGGAAACTCACAGCTATTATACCTCAAAATACACAGAGCTTAAAGGAATATAACAGATGTCAAGAGCTTCTGTAGCAGCAACATATACAGCTATCACAGGGTACCATAGTCAGAGGGAGAAGATCAAAAAGTGATACTTCATTCAGAAAGGATAAAAGTCGCCAATGGATTTGGAAGATAAAATAGAATTGAGGAGAATGATGAGGAAACTTTTTTACAACATGATTTGATGATCCTATGGTAGCAGCTAAAATAAGAACTAAATGCAATTTGCAATATGCAATATGCAATATGCAATTTTAGGGTTTTTAATTGCTCATAACACGAGCAGGCAGTGACTTGACAGAATATGATACCTATACCGTAAAGTGTGTGTGTGTGTGTATATATATATATATATATATTATATATATATATATATATATATATATATATATATATATATATTATCATGCCATAGTTCATATAGATGACAATGTCACCACTATTATGTCACAATGATGCAAAACAGTTAAGAAGCTCATTCAAAGCACATTTCTACAAATCCAAGTTAAAGTCTCAACACATGACATCTCCCAACACAAACGAAATAATTTGGATAAGGAAGCTACAAATAATACCAAATATAATATTCTACAAATAACAATAAGTACATGCAATGAAGCAATTGTCCACCTCAGCCTGAATGAAGTTTCCATACAAATTCCATGGCCTACCTGACTACATTCACAAGAATTATGGATGACATACAAATTAGTGATATCCTGATTTTTAAACACTGTTCTACAATTTCCTGTATAGAGCTATGACGCTTCAACAATTTAACCACAAAAGCCCTCATAATTTTCAAAACAAACCCAGATTTCCAAATTACATTGCTCACTGATATTGTAACTCATTGTTTCATCAAACGCATCAAACTAAGACAGACAAAAACAACCGCTTTCACATGCACACATCAACTGAGACCCATACTCAATGTAGTATTACCTTAAAGCCAGACTTTTGAATGGCAATGGCAACTGCTTGGAACTTGGGGTAGTTCTTAAGCTTTGACATGACATAGGATTTTCCGATCTGGAAAAAGTAAAAAAAAAAAAAACAAAGAATTTATCAGCTCTTGTAACATAACAATCAGGACATGATAAAATTATGTGAAATAAGTATTAAGAAAGTAGCAGCAAGCATGTACACAATGACAGACATGCACAGGGAGGCATTCAAGACTTACTGTTCTTCCAAGAAGAAAAGCCGCTGTAGCACCAAGTGTGGCTCCAGTTGAATCAGCAACAAATCCTAAAGGCAACCCAAAGAGATAACCTCCTCCAAGCTAGAGAAAAAACAGGCCAGGATCAGAAAATCACATAAGAAGTAATTGGGAATAAATGTGATCAGTCATTGAAAAGCAAATATTTGCAAAAGATTACTAGGAGAGAAAGTGAGGTGTATTGGTGCAAACATCTACCTGATCTAAGTGTGAAAAGATATGTTAAATCACTATGCCCAATTCAAGTTAATTTTTGAAATTAGCATAGATTTTGGCCCTATGCCCTACAGATTTTAAACGTCAAGATTCTTGACACAGAATCAAGCACTATATTTTACTCAATTGGCATAAAGAAATCACTAACTATTGTCACACTGTATCCGATTTCATGTCATATCTCATCACTAGTTAATAAATCAGTTTGAAGCTGGAGTTAGTGAATCTTCCAATTCAAAGAAATTGAAAACGTCCATTTCAATTTCTGATTGCATTGACATTAGATCAATCAATAAAATAATCAATAAAAGCCTTAATCCCATAAGTGGGGTAGGCTACATAAATTAAATTTGATTATTCCGTGTAATCATCGAAAAAAATCTTCCTCCTCCATCCCTTACAATCCAATGCCTCATCCTCATGCAAATCCATATACTACCTCTGGTCCAAATTACTCGCAACTTTGGGGTATTATTTGTGAGGTATAAAATATTCCAAAGTTGCGAGTAATATGGACCGGAGGTAGTACTTCATATCCTTCCTAACTCCTTCCAACCAAGTCATTTTCGGTCTCCCTCTCCCTCGTTTAACCCCTCCATGGTCCCACCCTTCGTACCGGAGCTTGTACATTGACATTAGATATTTCAATAAATTTTCCATGTTTGTGATTAAGCTAAAAGTCAAGGACCAGTCTCTTAAATAAAAGATCTTACATAAATTAACTCTTTGCAGCCGTGTTATATGGCTAAAAGAGTCTCTTTACAGCTGTACGCCTGTACATACCAGGTTAGAAAGATTTGACCTCTCCCCTCCTCGACAAAAAAGACGCAACGGATGGTCTAGTATGGTTTGTCGGGAAAGTGGGAGGCAAGAACGAGCAATATGAGAGACATTGCTGGTAGCTCAATATACAAAAACTTGGTAGCTCAATGCACAGCACCAAAATTAAAATTCAACAATTCTTCAAAATCATCTAATTTGGAAAGACGAAATAATAGAAGTTAGAAAGCATTCTAAAATAATATATAATTTCAGCTGTTAGTTCCCAAGTAAGGATATCATCATACCATTATAAATACTATGAAACAGAAGAATTTTATATGCCTAAGGCAGTCATATACAATTTCATGGAGTATAAAAACAGTTTTAAGTGTATGCTACCAAATGATGATCCTAGAATTTTCCTTATTCCCATCCTAATACACTAAGAACAAAGAAAAGAAGGAGCAAGAAATATCAATCACCATGAGAAAATATCGTAAAGAAGAACCAATAAAAAAGTTTCATACCGTAAGTACTGAGGCAGGAACTGCTAGAACTGTGAGAGGGATGTATGCAATAGCCCTAACAGAATAAAACAGCCTCAATTAGTTGCAGAGCCAATATTAAAAATGGTCTATCTTTGCTGAATTAGAAATGTCTGCTATTAGGTGAGTTTACAGTAAGACAATTTGTTTATACAAAAATGTAGATGTATTTCTTTTGAGATAACTGAAATAAGAACACCATTTCCTGATTTCATCACACAATCCCTTCAGCCATTCCAAATCAATCAACCTTTACTCAAGGCCATAAATATTTTTTTAGAACATGAAAAAAGAGTAAACAATTTACTGTTTATAAGTCCTCAGTTCCACAAATATTGTACCATGTAAAGTTTAATGCATCCCCAGAGACAACTTTGACCGTAAATAAGTTTAATTCTCATTAAGTTTTAAGAAGAAAAAAAAAAGTTGATATCTTTAAAGCATACATAAGGACAAATCTAACAATAACCCACATATCTATTCTTTTCTATATGTATAATACACAAGCGGATGGTCAAATGAGAACGTTTGAAAAATGTAAAAATTCAGCATGGAGCAATATCTGTGAAACGAAAGGTCATCAAACCATGCAAATACAAGAACTCCCAACCCCCCCCCCTCCCCTAAATAAATAAATATAAAAATAAAAATAAAATCATGAGCACAAAGATCACTTAGATAGTTTATTGTCCTCCATCAAATCCAATGTCACTTTGTATGGCCTTCATATTTGATTTAAGTCCCATACTTTCATTTCCTGCAGCTATTCATAAGAAGATTTTATATGCAGTAGGTCCATATCCATGTAGTAATAAAGGTTTGACTACAATAAAGTGGTATTAATATAAACAACAATTTTCACATGTTATAAAATGTATGGCTTCAAAACTTCCCTCGCTCACTTAAAGTGAACATAAAAAGAAAATTATAACAAAAAGGAGAACAATTCCGTAAAAGTAACTTACAATACAACAGGGCCCCAAGGACCAAGATCCTCCTTGACCCATAGCAAGAAATCCTTCAGATACTGCCAAGAAATAACGGAGGGGGGAAAAATTACATGTAAATATCAGAAATCAATAATGGTAAGTATAACTATAACAATGAACAATCATGTTATAGCATTGCATTGGGAGTAAAAATTCCAGCTAATAACTGATTCAATTGTTCATCAGAAAAATGGCTAAGCTTTGCTCAGTTACCAAAAGACATTATTCATTTTCTCCTATCATTTCTCTTTTAACACTAGGAATTGATAAATAAATAAATAAATAAATATCACTAAAATAGAATAATAGAAAGGATAACTATTTTGTATTAGCACATGACATCTAACAGTTATATTGATAAGATTTTTAATTGATTGTTCTCCTAGTACAAAGGGACGAGATTGGATATGCATTGGCTCATTTACTCCTACTTTCAATCATTGTTCTGTTACAGTAGATTCACTAAACAAAAAGAAAGAAAAGAAAGAGGCATAGTGGTATCAGTTATGTTGTATTGCATTATATACTACACTAGAGAGCTATAAAGATTAAAGACACCTTCAGAACACTTCAATATCTAACCAACCATTTCAGATGTATGGGAATAAAGCCATGACTAAAGCAGCAGGGATCTAATAACACACATTTTCAACCTTCTTTTCTCAAGAACTAGATTTTTAATACAAGTAATCAGAACAAAAGAGCACAACATAACACATCAAAAAAAGAACTTATATCTTCATTTCAATAGATTAATATCTAAAATCACTACCTCCGTCCTCTTTTATTTGCTCCAAACTTCCAAAGCAGTGGAGTTACTTTCTTAACTTTTGGTTGAAAGGAGTTGATGAGCAAGAAAAATGGTGGGGTATTATGTAGTGGCTGTAAGAGTAAAGTTGTGATCTCTACAGCCAAAAATAGTATGGGCACTTAAAGTTACAGCCTCCAGTCCGCTACACTATTTGAAATGAAAGCCCATAACTGTACAGAATTCCCTACTCTTTCTACTCTGATGGCAGCAGTTGTAGATTAGGTAACTCCCTCAAATTAAAATACCCAAATAGCTATGAATGCTCAATGTCCTCCAGCCATGATTTGCTACTGTTAGCTGTTGTGGCATCAACTTCCAATTTGAGGATCAAATTGCATTTCCCTATTCTTTTTTCAAGACCTAGTTGCTAATTTTCTACAGGTAGGACAAGACATTCGTAGTTATCAACGTGTCTCTCCTCTAACCTCTTGACCATATGAAATACATTTATAAGCGCCAATTTTTTCAATGTAGCCTCGTAATATGTAAATGAGTTCTATATTTAATGCTTTTTTTCCAGAAAGATGTTTCTACCTTTCTTCATTTTCCTAAGACCTTCGGAGATCCCTATGGCCAAGCACAAGATTACTCTTTGAATCGGTTACTTCTATTCTTAGGTTACTTCACAGCATTCATTGCTCCTCACTAAGTGGTGCCAGCAGCAATACAAGTTGGAGGATGCTTTCTTACAAAATATGATAGGGTTGTCAACAAAACAACTTACAGCAGCATCCTTTCTCCTAGTCTCTAATACTTTGACCAAAGCCTTTTGTATTCTACTAATTTGTAATTGATAATGTTCTCTTAACATGCAAGCATTTAGACAAGTAGTGAAAGATAGCAATAGAAATATTCTCTTAAAGCCAAAAACAGCAAAATAGGATACAATTCTTTCTCCATGGATGATCCTAACTAAAGAGTTCAGCTCATCCAAACTCTTCTGATTTCCGAATTTCGCATGACGGTAGATTCTTGGATTGGTGTATATTAGTACAACTGTAGAAGATAGTCAAAGTCACTTCATTATTCTGAAAGTCACCCCAGTACCCATATCCATTTTAAATTCACCTTGGTGCATAACGATCTTAATTGAAGTCGGCCCCATATCTTTTAAAAAGTCACCTTCATTCATCATACAGGCACACACCAGCCTTACCGTTACTGTTTCCATGATACACAAATTTGTACATGTATACTTCTATAACACCTAATGGTTCTTAAAAACTTACTTCTAATAGCACATTCTTATAATTAGAAGATAAATCCAAATAGAGCATACCCCATCTTGTGCCAACCAGAAGAGCCCAAGAGACATATGATTCACACCTAATGTAAACTACATAGAGCCAAATAAAATTATATAGGGTGCATAAAAAAAATGCTGCAATAGGCCTTCAGTTTCAGACAACATGCCATATGTCTAATTAGAAACCTCACTATCCACGCACATTTTCCCATATACACTATCTTGATTCACTGACTCCTCTTAAGTAAATAACTTTGATTCTGTTCATATTCAGCCTGCCTTAGTTCCTAAATTCAGTTGATGGTGAATACCATAAAGCTAAAACTTAGAGCCCACCTAACTACAATTATTGCATAGGCTGTTTAGGCAGTACAACCTCAACAAAGCCATGGAATGCAGGACCTCATAAATCATAGAAACCGCTTTGGCGCTTTGTATTAGCACACTGTAGAACCCTATAAATCATCTCCTTCCTATGTGCAGCTTCTATCTCATGTTGATGAACACGCCATTCAAATTTGCAATCTACTTTAGAACACCGAATCAACAATTAAACTTGACCCCATCAACAACAAGATCCTTTACAAAAATACAAAGTATCATATAACTTGCACAATCACTTTCTTAATAAAACACAAGATAAAGCCAAAGAATTATCAAAATGCCAAGTTGCCAACACCAATCTAATCATAACACTATATCATCAAATATACAGAAAAAAAACATCTCAAATGCAATTTGAGCTGTTTCTAAGCAATCAAAAACAATTCAATGAAACCCAATTGACAATCAACATCAAACCAATAATCAAAACCAGATCACAATCACAATGATAAAATCACTAAATCCCAAAAAGAAAAAATGGGAGAATGACAACCTGATCAATTGGGAGAGCATAAAGGAGAGAGAGAAAGCCGAGGACAATAAGAACGGCGACGAGGCGGCGGAGAGCGGAAGAGACAGATTTGGGGAAAAAGAAAGCCACAGAAGAAAAGAACCAGCGGCGGAGGAGGAACCATGGGCGGGTGGCGCGGTGGAGGTCCTCACCGTCTACGGTTAACTCTGGCTTTGATGAGGATCTTGCCCTTAAACTCAATCCTCCAACGTTTGCCAGGTTTCTTAAATTTTGTCAAAATCCTAAAAAACTGCCTGAATATTCTAATCTTCTTCACCCAAAATCTGAGTCTGAATTTCTGCCTGAAATCTACTGTTCTTCACCCAAATTTTGATTCTGAATTTCTGCCTGAATCCTGCTGCTCTTCACCCAAAATCTGAGTCTGAAATTCAGCCTGAATCCTGCTGTTCTTCACCAAAAATCTGAGTCTGAAATCCTGCTCAAATCCTACTGTTCTGCACCCAAAATCTGAGTCTGAATTGCTGTTTTTTCTGGGTATATTGGTGGTGAACTGAGGTTGGTTGTTTATATAGTTTTCTGGTATCAGCAGAATTGGCTACACACTTGATTCAGTGATCTGGGTTCATTGGAGTTTGAACAAGATGAAGTGGGCTAATGGTAGATTGGAGGATTGGAGAGTGGAAGTTGGCTAGTTCGTCAATGTTCGTGTGATTGTTGTGTGTTTACATCAGCCCAATACAACAGATGCTATTAAGCACTCTATAAAGAGCGATTTCCCTTAAAATGTAAAAATTCCACAATTATGCCATATTTTCACAAAACTAGGTGTGAAGCCAGTGCGTTGCACGGCTTTGTTTTTATTATTACTTTAAATTTGTATCTTATTATGTAATATTAATAATAATAATAACAATAAATGGATAATATGATAAATTAAAAGACGTTTATTATTGTAATTATCAATGGTAAACTATTGCAATTATAAAAAAATTAAAATTAAAATTAAAAAAACAACTTGTGAGGTTCAAATTGAATTCTCTCTTCTACACCTCTATTCTTTTTTTGAAATTTTGTTTTATGTATCTTGGGTCCCCTTTGAATGTCGCTGACAGGATTATCATATTCCCTTTTTCAGCACCGTAGTGTGTAGAGTATATCGTTTCTTTGTAATTCTGGTACATATTTCTTGTGTCGTCGATCAATGACGGTGACAAGATTAATTTTTTTCCATCTCCAACCTTAGTTGTATCTTTGTTTACCATTGCATCCTCGAAGGTATTGTAGATTTCACTTTGTGTAGCCATGAATCTTGGGATCTCCGACTATGAAAAGAAACAATTAATAATTTTCTATATATTGTGAATTAAATTAAGGCCATTTATGACATCTTTATTCTACATGAAAATTATTTATGTAAAGTTTTGAAAAATTAAAATTTAAAATTCATGACTTCTAAATAAACATTAAATACTTGTAACAATTATTTAGTACCTCAATGACACTTTTGTCAAAAATTCTCATCATCGTAAAAGTTTGTCGAATTTTGTACGATTATAACTTTATAAGCGGTGATTTTGACTTTGAACACTAACTCTCTTCCAATGATATTTGCAATCATTCTTTGGAATTTGTGTATTATCATCTTCATTGTCATTATCATCATCTTTATGGTCATTGATCTTTCAATATTAATAGAAATAAGAGATAAAAGCACTTATAGAACAATTTAATCTTTAAGTTATTGTTTAAAAACAATAATTAAAACCTTTTCATAAGTATGAGACTCAAAAGAGTACTTGCATCTTGTCCTATTAGTTTCTTTGCTTCTTCATCAAAAACTATAAATATTGTTGACCCACTATGATCGATAACACTAAGCTCCAAATGATATCAGATCGAAAAAAATAATGCATAAAGAAATTAGGCACTATATAATTTATTATTCGTTTAATCTATTATCGTAATATGGATAAAGAAGAAATTTGAAACAAACCTTGGGATGGGCCTTTCAATTTGCTTTTTCTTGGAGTGATGCGTCTTTGACATGCTCGGCATGAGATATAATACCAACTATTTTCACTCATAATTGCATCCACTTTAGCCATGCAATAGAAGATCAAATCCTATATGATTTAAAAATAAAATTAGGTTTGAATTTAAGATTTATCATATATATCGTATTAAGTATAATAAAGTGTTTTTTATTTTTTGAAGGAATAATAAAGTGATGTATTAAAACACCTTTCCTAAAGTTTTTTGTACATGATTCATAAGCATTAAAATATCAACTTTTTAGAGTTGATTTCTTTGGGTCCAATCTTGATATTCTGAATTTCAAGTTTTCCAATGGTAACATTATCTAACTTCTCACTGCATTATAATGATCTGATATAAGAGAAATATATTTATGTAGAAAGAATAGTATAAAAATTAAAATGATTGAAATAACATACCTCCATACATATTTCAATTCATCAAACTCAGAAATTTGAAGATCAATATAAATGTTGGTTGATGCAGAAGTATTTATATTAATTTTTCCTGTAAACAAAATGACAATGGCAAATTAGGTTATTCGTTGTAAAAATAATAAAAAAATTATTATAATGACTAATATATGATACTTACCATTAAAATATTTGACCATTGTTGAGGTAACAATTATACCAAAAGGCTTAGTAGAATCAGCAAGTAGACCAGGTCTTTTTGTCTTGAATATTCAGGAAATACATTATCCCAAATTTTTAAGTGGATTCGTTGTCCCCTAACCATGATATCAAAATACAAATGATTTGCTAATAAATCTAAAAATAATCAAATATAAATTATCTTACAATAATAAAATTTAGTTTATCGTAATTGATAATAATAAGATATAAAAATATATCAAAATAATAAATACCATGATTTGTTAACTGATGCACCTCATACGTGCTTTGCTGAAATGTGGAAATGGCTCTACAGGAAGTATGATGTGGGTATTGTAAGCTCGATGGCTACTCTTATGTGGGCTGCTTGGAGAGGAAGGAATCTGATCCTGTTCCAAGATGAAAAACCCAATTCTGTGATGCTAGCTGCTGGGTTCCTAAGAGTGGTGAGAGATTACAATAATTACACTGAGAGGGTGTTGCTGCCTCCTACAAGTATGCTGCAAGGTGGGACTGGTGGCTGGTCTTGTCCTGTGACTGGGTTGTGAAAATAAACTCAGATGCTCATGTATGACAAGGATCAAAATGTGGCTTGGGGGCTGTCATATGTAATGAAGAGGGTAAGGTTATTGCTGCAGCAGTGAAGACAACTTCTCCTACATCCCCTGAAGTTGCCGAGGCTATGGCAGTGAGATTTGCTATTCAATTGGCAGGAAGGTTAGGCTACAAATTGATTGAAGTGGAAAGCGACTCTTTGAATGTGATCAATGCACTGAGAACAAAGGCTCAAGGTTTGGCTCCAATTTATCTTATTGATGATGATATTAGGAATAGTAGTATGATGTTTGATGTTTGTAATTTTAAACATGTTAGACGCTCTTGTAATACAGTGGCTCACCTTGTATCTAGGTGGGATATCGGCTCTATTTCCGAACTTGTTCGTGTGGGCTCGTTTCCCCAAAGCCTAACTACTTTGGCGGAAATTGATACCACTTACTAAATAACATCGCTACCGTTCGTTCTTTCAAAAAAAAAAAACCATTTGTCTTCTATTTTAATTGAATCTCCAACTTCGTTTACAACCATGCCAACCACATCTTGTAGGACAAAGTGATTAAAAAAAAAGAATGATAACACTATAGATTTTTTTTAAAAAAAAAATTGAAAATATTTAAAATTGCTTTGTATGATTATTATTATCCCTAATATAAAATTCTAAATTTAGAATTTTATAATCACCCTACATATACAAAATAATATTGTAAGTTACACAATGAATTTTTAAAAAAATATTATATTATAGGACATTATCACTTATAAAATTAAAGGCATGCATACCTCTTCGTCAATTAAAATTAATCATGTCCAAACTAATCAAACTATTATGTTTCCGAAAGTTCAAAACATCAAAAAGCCTTGATACACGTACTTTAATTTTCCAATCATTTTTGGAAGAATTAAGTTCTCGAATCGATGAAGTAGACCTAAGGAAACAATGCAATGAAAAAAAAGTAGTTAAAAATAATATTACCAGTAACTACAATTTGAAAAGAAAAAAAATTGAGTTAAGGAATTAGACATACATTTTCTTAAACCACATTATAATTCTAAATTGCTTTGTATAAGTATTGTGTGATTCTTTGGTGGTCCGTGAATTCGATTAATGCCTGTTTATAATAATAACAAATCATAAGCTAATTAAATCAATTCATATCTTTTTCTTAACTTAAATGATAAGGATTTTTTTTAAAAGGATTAATTTTTTTAAGATTTATTTTATTTTCGTTTGATGTTTTAGTTTGGGAATTAAAAAAAAACCCATGAATGGTGTTTAAAAAAATTATTCATAAGAAAAAGCTAAGCTTTTGTTGGGTTTGAATCACAGTAATTATGCACATATTAGATTGATTTTATCATAGATTATACTTTACATTTTATTTGAAGTAATTAGATAGACCATTAGAAAAGTATGATAATTTTTATTTTTATTTTGGTTTGCTGCTTAAATTATTTTAATTTTTTGTATAGTTCTTTTAACCGTAGAAAGATAATGGTAGGGTAGAATTAATAAATTTTTAAAGGATTAACATATTTTATTTGAAATAATTAGATAAATCATTAGATTAGTATGATAGTTTTAATTTTTCATTTTATTGTTTTTATTTCATCCTACGTGGCACACATAAATATGTGGTGCTCTATTTTTTTTTAAATAACAAAATCCTACGTGACTCTCTAAAAACTCTGGGAAAAACTCCCCTTTATATATATATATATATATATAGGACCGGGTTATAATGAGAACCAATTGTGAAATAGGAACTAGGAACCAATGAGGACCGTCAGATCTAGGAGAAGAGGCGCGCGATCTGACGGCTCATATTCGTTCAGACAAATTAAATGCAAAAATTCATTTCAGCACCTTTTTTCTCTCCTCTCTCTCTCTTTCTTTCCGAATTTTTCTCTCGATTTCCGCGATTTTCTCACTCTTACACGCCATTTTCAACTGCAAAAACCTTCGAAACCGCCATAACCGTAAAAATCAACTGCTCAATTTTGCTATAAAGTAACAATTTCATGTTCAACCGTCTTCATTTTTCAATTTTGGAACAAAATTTTTTGAAAATTGGCGAAAATTGACGAAAATAAGGTATTATTATCACAACTTCGAAGTTCATACTATTTTGTTTATTTTTGTTGCAATTTTTTACTTATATTTGTGTTTTTTGCTTGATTATGTTGAAATTGAAGTAGCAAAACTTGAATCGGAAAAATTCGAAGTTCAATTTTGGTGTTTTCATTTCGATTTCTTCATAATCATGTATTATCGCAAATTAGTTCATTTTTATACAAATTATGATTAATATACTTATCGTTTCTGTGCAAAATTTGTTGTAATTTAGGTTAAAATCGACATGCATGAGAAAATTATTCAAATTTTTACTTATATTTGCATTTTTTTTTTTGCTTAACTATGTTGGAATTGAAGTAGCTGAACTTGAATCGGAGTATTTGAAGTTTAATTTTAGTGTTTTCTTTTCGATTTCTTCATAATCAGATATTATCGCAAATTTGTTCATTATTGTTCAAATTATGATTAATTTACTTATCATTTCGGTGCACATTTGATGTAATTTAGGCTAAAATAGACATGCATGATAAAATTATTCAAAGTTTTACATAAATTAATATTAGGTTTTTCATAAATTTATAATAATTTATAATAATTTTGTTTAATTTATGAGTAATTTTTTACTGCATTATTGTTGCTATAATACTTCTGTTCTACTTGAGTGTCAGGAATTTGCTAAGAGTAAATTAAAAATTATTAAAAGTAAGTAAAAATTAACTAAAAGTAAATTATAAGTAGTTGTTTGAGTTTATATAGTTTTGAGTGTATAATTTTTTAAAAGTAGTTAGAAATTTGTTAAAAGTAGATAGAAATGTGTTAAAAGTATATAGAAATTGAGTAAATGTGTATATCAAAAATGATGTTAATCTTTGCTCATTGCATTACCCTATACATTATTCTTGATCATATTATATTTGTTTTGAATTGCTCACAGATTAAAATGGCCAAAAGAACAAAGAAAAAACCAGATCCACCAAAGGATATTGCTGCACCAAAGAAGGCTGCTGCAAATAAAAAAGTTACTGCAGCCAAGGAAACTCCTGCACCCAAGAAATCTCCTGCATCCAAAAAGAGTCCTACAGCCAAGAAAGTTCCTGCAAATACAAAGCAATCTCCAATTAAAGGTATATAATATAAAGTAAATGGAGACTGTTATAAAGTGAATAGAAACAGTTGTAAAGTAAATCATTTATCTGTATAAATCTGTGTTACAAATAATGCATACTATTACATTATTGAATATAAAAAGTAAATTGTTAGTGTAGTAAAGTAAATAAAAAAGCTTATAAAGTAAATGAATATGTTTTAAAAGTTTTTTAATATGTCTATACTTATAAACTGATTGTGTAAACTAAATGTAATAGGTGCCAAGCTTCAAAGGATTTCAAAAAAGCAAATATTGATAAAGAGAAGAATTAAGGAACTAGAAGCGTCAAAAGGTTCATAAAAGTTTATAAAATTAAATTCATATGTTATGTATTACAGCAATGTATTAATCTATTATAAAGTAAATAGAGACTGTTATAAAGTAAATAGAAACTGTTATAAAGTAATTAGAAACTGTTATAAAGTAAATATTGAAGTAAATAGAGACTGTTATAAAGTAAATATATAGATACTGTTATAAAGTAAATAGAAATTGTTATAAAGTAATTAGAAACTCTTCTAAAGTAAATAGAAACTTTTATAAAATAAATTGTTATATAGTGAGCTATTTACTGCTATATGTCTATGATTTTTATTGATAACTTTAATAAAGTAAATATAAATGTTATCAAATTTGGTTAACATGTTTTAACAAATTATAGGAACAAAGAAAAGGGTAAAATCTGAATTGAAAGATAGCAATTATGAACCAGAAGAAGATCAGAATGAGAACTCTGATGGTTCATCAGAAGAAGAAAGAAAAAAGGGAAAAGGTCATTTAAAGAAGAAATTGAAGCTTGACAATTCTGAACATGATGTACATGAAGTTATTGATATTAATGATGATAATGATGGTAATCTAGAAATCAAGAAAACACACTGCAGACCCAATGCAGTTGTTGATTTGATCAAGGATTTTAGTGAGCAACAAAAAAAAAGATGTCATAAGTATTGGTTTTGGAGGGCTGCTTGAGCTAAAATTAACGAGAATTTCAACAAAAATGCTTCCATGGCTTTGTCACCATTTCAATGAAAGCAGCTGCATGTTCAAGATTGACATGATGAAGGAATTTTCAGTTAGTTCCTATGATGTTGAAGATATATTCTTGCTTCCACATGTAACTGAGAACAAGGTGAGTTTTCAGTTAAGGAAGCAACCTCTATCTAACTTGCTGATTCAAAAAGAATGGAAGAAGAAGCTAGGAATTCCAGAAGATGATG